TTTAAGCAGCGATGGCCAGAAGGAATGAATGAAATTGATAAGGAGACCCTTGATGTGGGAACCATCATGGTCCTATATAAACATAGAAATTAAGCTTCCATTAGTGATCAGAAAGAAAAAGACAAACTCTTAAGATTGCACATAGAAATCCAAACAAGAATAAAACCAAAAGAAAAGAAGTTAAAAGCATTCAACCTGATCAGTCATAATCATCAGACTACCATATCTTAAAGACTTAAGACTGGTATACTCTTTATCTTGCTGCAGTCCAAGAATCCTCTTGATATTCTTAATTTCCTCATTATCCCTGACCTGAGTGGCACTAGCTTCTCTTACATTGAGCAGTTTACCTCTCAATGGAAAAACACCATAATGATCTCTACCCACAACAGCAAGCCCCGCCATCTGTTTACGATAGATTCTGTTAATCTATTGCAGAAAGGAAGCCAAACAAATCAAGTAATTGTACCAATATTGCAAAACATAAAAACCTACTGCAAGAGCCTTAGCTGAGTCTCCTTCTGTCAATATCAAAGTACACTTTTCAGAATTCTTCCCTCCAGCATAGTTAGCATCCTCAAGCTTGTTGATATTATGAACCCTCTCTGTTTTAGTTCCATCAGTTTTCTTCAGGTCTTTGTTCTGTTTAAAATTTGCCCAAGAGAGAAGACTATCCACAATTCCAGACTTTGCAACTGCAAATTAATCAGCATACGAAAATCAAGATTAATTGTCTGAGTCTAGTATAGTTGAACAATTTGAAATACGGTTGCATTTGCATACCCTTATTTAAGAACGCTGGTGTAAGTTCACATTTAGATCCGAAACTATTTGGGCGTATCGTGAGAGTTTCCTTTGTTTGGGAATCAAATGCAGGGTTGTCAATAAGAGCATTGACAAAGACCCACAGATAATTCTTCACATTATGGGCTTTGAGGTTAGCATTCTTGTTCTTCTTATTTACAATACTCATCACATGGTTCGTGATCTGATCTGTTACGTAATTCACATGAGTTCCACCCTTGATTGTTGCAATTCCATTCACAAAACTGACCTGGTAAAAATAGAATTGAAAACTTGAGATTGACAATTCTAATGTGTACAGAACATGGTAACTTCACTTATTCAAATAGTTTTGTTCAAACCTGTTGAAACTGCCCGTCGCTGAGACTCACGCAAATCTCCCACCTATCATTGACTTTCTCCGTCAACCTGTCAAATGAATAGACACAGTTAGCAAATCCCCAACACAAACAGAAAAAAAAAAAGGAAGAACAAATCGGGACAAGAAGTGCAATTCATTACAAAAACCTTAGAAGGGGAGCATCTCTTGATTTTCCGGCAGATTGTAAGTAGAGGTCAACATAATCAAGAAATGACTTTACAGGGACCCTCGTTCCATTCAGATCAACCTTCACCGTCTTTCCGAGGCATCCGGCCAAGTCAATTACTCTCTTTTGCATCAGCGCCACCACATCATCTTCCAGATGGGTCATATTAAACTTGGACAGGTCGGGCTTATATGTAACCCTGGTCCAGTTCTCACTCTCTTTGCACTTTGTGATGACTGGCGCAGTTTTGTTCCCCATGTTGTTGGCGAACACCTGAAATCAGCAAGATCAGATTATTCAACTGACATAATGAATGAGCACATTATCACTGCCAAATGCCTGCAGCAATGTTTGGTCAGGCAGAATTCGGAATCCATTTCGAACCCATAGAAAAATGAATCATAACATTTTAGCATTTTGTTTTCCTTACCAACTAAAAGGATCTTATGGGAAACAAGGACATTATTTTTCATCGGAGAATCAAAGATAAAAATAAGATGAGAGAAAATCGGTTAAGGTGGTTTCGACAGGTGAACCAAACACATAGTTGCTCCGGTTAGAAGATGTGATTATGAGACAGAGACTAAGGGGAAAATGGGTAGAAGAAGACCTCAGAAGACTTGGAAAGAGACTATAAGAAAATACATAGAGTACGTAGAACTAACGGAAGAATTGGCGCAAAATCGTTTGTAATAACGTTGTCGGTGGGATAAGGGTTTATATTTGTTGTTCTTGGAGTACACATCAAACGTCAAAAAAATTAGAGAATCCATAATTTTATACCTGCTTATACTTCTTCTGTCGCATTCCGTCCGCCGTCTCGATGATGAACTCGGTGGAGAAGATGTTCGTAAGCTTGGCGCCGTAGCCATTGCGTCCACCGGTGGTCTTCTTCACCGTATCGTCGTAATTGCTACTGGTCAGGAGGTGCCCGAAGATCAACTCCGGGACGTAGACCCTTTCCTCCTGGTGAATCTCGACAGGAACTCCAGCGCCGTTGTTGTAGACGCTGATGGAGTTCTGCTCGACGTCAATGGTGACTTTGACGGAGTCCATGGACGGATCTCGCTGTTTGTTATCAGCGGCGTTGACGAGAATTTCGTCGAAGATCTTGTACAGGCCGGGAACGTAGGTGATGGAACGGTTGACCATCTCGCCATTTTGGTAGACCCAGAGGTTCGAGGTGTGCTTCTCGATCGACCCGATGTAGGTGTCGGGTCGGAGCAAGATATGCTCCAGCTGGCTCTTCTTCTGGTACATTTCTTCGATAGTCTTGCCTTTTCCGCCGCCATCGGTGGGGGCTGGGTGGTCGATGTTGGCGTTGTTACTGGTTTGGAGCGGGCGTTTCTTCTCGATCGCCATGGTTGGTGGCGTTTGGAGGAGGCGGATGATTCTAGAGTGAGGAAATGAGTGAGGGGGAGGGAGGAATTAGGGATTTATGGGTGGGATGCAACGGTCGATTAGGTATTTGAATTCGAATTTCAAATGAAAGGATTTTGGGCGCGGTGTTTGAAATGTTTGAATGGGAAATCGGACGGATGGGGTTCGAGTTTGAAGAATCACGGTGGATGATGAAGGAGAAAGGGAATCTTATAGGAAGGCGTTGAATCTCAGTTGACTGAATGGGTGCGTGCGATAATGGGATTTGTTTATGGACACTTTTTATCAATGGGATAATTTTCTACCATCCTATTCTCATTTCTATACATCTTCTCTTTTTACATATTATTTTTTGTTTTATTATCTTTATAAAAAAATTAATATAAGATGTTAACGTGTCTTAACTGTCACCCTTCAAATAGGAGGATATGAAATGATAAAGAGATTAGAAGGATATAGAATCCTCATCCATGGGATAAACGTCAAGAAACTAAAGGCTAAAGGTCTCAACAACGTCTCTCACTAGAAAATGCGGGTAACACGTATAAATTTAATCGAAATGTACGTTAACTAGTTCATCAATTATAAAATTCATCTAACGATACATTTCGATTGGGTTAAGTGTTAAAACATATAGCTTTTCCCTTCTATTTCCCCTCCCCAATTTCTCTCCAACCCTTGTTCATTGGGTTAAGTGTTAAAACCTTAAAAAAAAAAAAAAAAAAAAAAAAACTCAAATTGCCCCAAGATTTAGCCCAAAATTAGTGGTAGAGCCCACATTTGAGAGTGGAAAACAGAATGTGAAGCCCAAACGCCCAAAACCCACGCTTAGACGCGCCAGCCCAGCACCCAGCTAGACCCCACCCACATAGGCGTGTCCCCCTCTTGTCAGCCGCAACAATGAGCCCAACGACTCTTTTTTCTGATCCAATGGCCACAATTCAAATGGACCAACAGTCCAAATGTGTGTGTGTATATATATATACATATTTGTTTTATATTTATAGTTTCATTGAATCCAACGGCTGATATCTAATATGATCAAATCTAATGATATAAAAAAAGATCTAACAGTCCAAATTTAAATCTAACGGCTAAAATAATTTAAAAAAATTTATTTAACTCAAAATTCATCCAAATTTAGTGATTTTTCAATATTTATTGGAATCTAAATATTTTTAGGTTAAAATGTTTATAAAATTAAATTAGGATAGTGTACATAATTTTTTAAAAAAAAATAGCCTAAATTTATTCTTTAATAACCTCAGGCTAAAAACTTTAGACTATAAGGGTTAGAGGAGAAAAGCTGGCTTTGGATTAAAACCTAAATTTTTTGGGCTAAAAATTTTAGGTTTTACTTTAAGGGTTGGAGATGGTCTTATAGAGCCAAGCAGAGTGTGAGAATGTGAAGGTCAAAGAGTTCCACATTGTTGAAATGAGAAATCTTGCAATGACTTATAAGAGGTTAGATTATCCCATATATTATTAACTGATTTTATAATAGAATCTCAACTTTCTTCACAGAGAAGTCTGCGAATTCATATAAAGAATGAGGGCTGGGAAAACTTTGCCATACCCTACAAGCATTAAGCCAATCCCTAAGAACATGAGTAGCATATTCACATTCCTTTGCACGAGTGGAATGAAAATAGTTCGTAGTCAACCTCCTCTTTAGATCTTTGCTTATTAGCTAGGAGTAAGATTCTCTACCCTACTAATCTCTTTATCCCTTCATCCCCTCCTATTTGAACGATCACTGTTAAGTCACATAAACATTTTATATTGATTTTTTATAGAGATAATAAGATAAAAAGTAATGTGTGAGAGGAAGTGATGGAAGGAGATGTGAATATAAGGGTAGTGAATCCTCCTTAATTAATAGCTGAGCTCCATCTATAAACGTTTCCCAAGTACGGGAGGTCTCACCCAACATCGAAGAGGTCACATACAATTTTCGTTACAGGTTTTGCCTCCAATTTAATTTTGATCACCGGTATATTTATTTTGAGAAATGCTAAGGGGCTTCTCTAAAAGTATAATTCTTTATGAACTCTCTGCTACTTACAATTTAACGTCAATTTATGTATTAAAATTATAAAATATTGTGTTAGAAACATGATTAGTATATACCTGCTTTTGCAAGAACAACTTGTATAATATAAATTCACCGCCACAGTAACTTTCCATACTAATAACGTAAAAACATATAAGAAAAAACTAACACGTATCCTTTTATTATTAGCACCTAAGAAGTCCCATGCAAGGTCTTTCACGCTTTCACAGTTTCACCAATACTTCTCCCGCCGGAGACGACTAAAATAAACAAATAAATAAATACACAGAAATGAGAAGGCATTAGATTAACTTGTTATTCTGGCTGACAACAGTAACCTGAATCCACTGGAGTCCAATTCCGCTGTCTGGACGACGGCAACTACAGCAACCTGAATCCATACTTGCGAGTACGTTTTTCTTTCCCATCTCTCATCCACTTTGATTATTCTACGCTTTCTGTTTCTGTATCGTTGCTGAGAAAATTCAAGGAATTCACAAAGAAAATTGAAATTTCGACAATAACAGCCATAACAATTGAAATTCGGCGTACTTGAGGTTCTGTGATCTGTTTCTTATTGTCATTGATTTGTTGGTCTTACCTGATTAGATCATTAGAGAGAGAGAGAGAGAGAGAGTAATCTGAAGATCACAACTTCATGGTTGAATTCGTATTTAGGTATTTCCTGAATTTGTTTTGTATGGTTAACATTTTTGTTCGAATTAAGGGTTTTGATTTAGCTTTTTTGTTTTTAGCTGATATAAATTGATAATTGGTTTAATCGTGGTGTGTTTATAGATTAACCATTTGTTTGGTAACTACTCAGAATAACGGGATAGAATAACGTTAGATTAAATTTTGGTCTCATGTTCTTTGACCGCATTCAGTTTCGGTACAAAAATAACAACAATAACAAAGCCTTATCCCACTAATTGGGGCCGGCTGTATGAATCCATTACCAATGCAAAAAGCTAAGGACTTAAAGCTGAGCCTTGGTGTCATCTGCCAAAAGCATACACCGCGTGATATCATCTTGAATATGTCCGGTTACTTCATTGATTACCAATGCAAAAAGATAAGGACTTAAAGCTAAGCGTTGGTGTAACCCTATGGTTATGGGAAAGCTTTCGGTGAATCAAAGAAGTTTAGTTAGACTAGGGTGTACTGGTACTTAGGGTCAGCTGGAGCACTGGAGGTTTTGTTCATTTTGTTTACTTTTTTCTCAAGTCCCGAATGATGAATGATTTTACTCAATTGCTGTCTTTCTAAAACTATTAGAGGGGAAATCTTTGTATGTCAATTGCTTTCTTCAATTGGATTTGAATGTATAAGGACTTGGATTCAAAGTTATGAGTATTGGGTAGTGAGCTATTTGCTTGAAATCACTTTTGATACTGGAATGAAGGTGTGGTAGAGTTAATGTTTGGAATGATGTTGGCATTTGGAAATTTTGGAGTCAAAGTTAAGCATACACAATTGTTCCATGTTCAATAAATCGAAGTTTTGACAATCTGTAATTAAGTTCAAGCTTAGTGGATTATTCGTTATTATTCCTTAGCTTATATGAATCATGGACTTTTGTCCGAACGATTATGATTTGTGAGTTTCATGGCGAAGAAAAGACATATGAGTTCGGGCCCGATGCCCATCTCACTTAGTAAACACTAATACAGATGACATAATATTTTTCTTCTTCCTTTTGTTGGACACAACATCTTTCTGTACTCTAAAAAGTAAAAATGCTTTAGTGAGAATTTTGTTTATCCTCTTCAGTCTTGAGGAGGAGGGAGGGGGAGCTTGACCTGTTTTGCTGAGTTTCCCAAAATATTTTTAAATACAGTTATCAAAAGCCGTAGAAAACAGTACTAGTCTGTTGTGTATTCAAGATTCTTAATTGGCAGCGTGTAATCAAGAGTCTTAATTGTCCCCATTTCATGTATATTGTCTTACTAGATGGTTATCATTTAAGTTTGGCTATCAGAGTGTGGTACTATCGTATTTTAGAAATGGCATCTCATGATCTTTTTGGTATTAAAATGTGATGTCTATATTATCTTTTGACAGGAAAGATTGCTTGAAATAGTCTGGGAACTTCATTCAGCTTAGAAATGGACAACAATAACGATTTCACTTTTTGCCAGGTAAGTGTTATATGTACATTTTGTTATCAAGAAAGCTATACCCTTGAAATATGCCCATTGATTCAATGCATCTGTGAACACGAAAGTTCCTTGAAACAAGAAACAAGAATAACGTGTACAAAATAATATTTTTGTGTTTGATGATTTTGGGGTTACGATCTCTCTCAAATTGGGTCCTCTGATTCTATCTCCGTAAGATGTAGATTTGTTGATCCAAGGGCCGTCGATGCTTGATCTTGGATGAACAGTTGTAAGTTTCTTCAAGGGCCTTCGTGGCTTTGATCTTGAAGGTTGATGGAAGTTTCTTCAAGGGCCTTCAGGGCTTGATCTTGAATGTTGATGGATGAGCGGATCTTCAAGGGCTTTTGGGCTTGATCTTGAAGAACGGTTGGTTTTCTTCAAGGGCCGTTGAGGCTTGATCTTGAATGAACAGTTGGTTTTCTTCAAGGGGGCTTTTGGGCTTGATCTTGAAGAATAGATGTGTGGATTTGTTTTTTGATCCAAGGGCCGTCGGGGCTTGATCTTGGATGAACGGTTGTATGTGTGGATTTGTTGAGGTTGTTGATCCAAAGGGCCGTTGGGGCTTGATCTTAGGATGAACGGATGATGAATGATGAACGCTTTCTTCAAGGGCCGTTGGGGCTTGATCTTGAATAATGGTTGTGTGGATTTCTTCAAGGAAGGTTGATGGATGAGCGGATCTTCAAGGGCTTTTGGGCTTAATCTTGAAGATTGATGGATGAGTTGTTGATCCAAAGGGCCGTCGGGGCTTGATTTAAGGATGAACAGTTGATGAACGGATGAACACTTTCTTCAAGGGCCGTCGGGGCTTGATCTTGAATAATGGTTGTGTGGATTTCTTCAAGGGCTTTTGGGCTTGATCTTGAAGGTTGATTTGACGAAGAACGAAGAATGCTTTCTTGATCCTTCGGAATTCTTGGGAATTTGGATGCTTGAGAGCTTTGGAGTTTCAAAGTTTCAAGGATTTGGGGAATTCCTCTTCTAATTTTGGAGTAGAGAAATGTATTTGTGAATTCCTTGATGCTTGATACCTTGATGGAGAAGCCTATTTATAGGCTTTGAGAATGAATCACCACCCCAAAATATTTTTTTCCTTTCCAAGCACCATTGCCTAATTTTCCCACTTAATGCAATATTGAAATTGAAGTGGTGTAACTTATGGCCTAATTTCCCACTTAATACCATTTTAAACTTGAAGTGGTGTAACTTATGGCCTAATTTCCCACTTAACACCATTTTAAACTTGAAATGTGTATGCTTTGTCATTGCCCAAATGAGAAAAACTTGCTTTGATCCGTAATGGATTGAAGTGTGCTTGCCTTGTCATTGCCCAACATGAGAAGAAAAACTTGTTTTGATCCTCAATGGATTGAAATGTACTTGCCTTGTCATTGCCCAAAATGAGAAGAAAAACTTGTTTAATCCTTCAAGGGTATTTCTTCCTATTTTGTTGAGTCACACGCCATGTGTACAATTTGTACAACACGTGGCGTATGCCATGTATGCCTTGACACGTCAAAACTTTAATGCATTGGTAAACATTTGTTTTACTGAAATTTCGATGTCTACAGCATCATCTGCAGTGGTTTGTGTTTCGGGGATATGATTGATAGTGGCTGAGTTTTTGTATGTCATAATTCCATATTGATGTAAGGTCTGTGGTATATGTTCAGGTTGGCCCACCAGGGAACCAGGATGATCATGAGACAAATAAGCTCACTTCAGATACAGAAAACATTACCATAAAGGATGGATTGTCAAATGGCACTAGTAGTAATGAGAATAGATGTGTTCTGTGGCAAGGTGGTTTACCAGGAGAAGCCACTTCCAAAAAACAGGAAACAGTTGGTTCTTTGTCTGTCAGCGTCATTGATGCATCATCCATGAAAAAGAAATCTGAAGTTCCAAAGCAACTAAAATCAGGTGATGCTGGAAACTCAGTCAAGCCTGCAACTCGTGCTAAAGTACCTTTTGAGAAGGGATATAGCCAAATGGATTGGCTCAAACTTACTCGAACACATCCTGACCTTGCAGGTACTTAGTTAAAAAGTGCCTCAGCTGATATTGCTTCTCATCTGTCATAATTTTGCTTCTTCCTGTCACTATTTTTCTTGACCTTTTTTTTTTCATGTCATTTGTGTTCTGTTGGCTATGATGCATACATAATTTGTGATTTTTCTTTCTAGCACTGGTAAGTTTTTATTTGCGACTCTTGTCAAGAACAAAAGTTGTAAGGATATACCTTTAAACTTTGTGATAATCCCAAAGAATATACTTTCTTTTTATCTTTTGTAAAGCTTTTGCACTTTGTGGTAATCCTAAAGGCAATTATCAGAAGATATAAAGAACATACCTTCAAACTTTGCCCAATGAAAGTATTCTAGCTCTACAAGTTCGTTGAGGTCCCTAAGTCATCCTTGTTGAAAACACGTTTATGAATATTATGTACTCATAGAAAGCCTATTCGTCATGAATTTCTGATGCATGTTATTATAAGTTCAGGAAACAACTTGTGATATCTCTGGTATTTTCAAGTGCAGTAGTGATTATATCAGTGTTAGTTCTCAAGATTCAAATTGTGTCTCAGGCTTAAAGGGACAGTCAAATAAGAGGCTTATTTCACTGAATGAAGTTAAACAGCACCAAAAAGGAGATTCAATGTGGACTGTTCTAAAAGGCCGCGTGTACAATTTGTCTCCATACATAAGATTTCGGCCGGGAGGTATGTACATGTTTTAGTCTGTTCAAGTTCAAATGTTAGCTGGAGTGAACTGTGTCATTCCAAGTGTGTATTGCTGACACCTTTCCTTGTAAACCCCAAAATTGTTAAAGTATTTATATCGGTAGGCATGCTTTATCGGGTTCTTGCAGTCTTCTTATTGAAGTTTTATTGCTCCACACCCCCAACTTAGCCGACAAAATTCAATTAATAGCATGAGACATCTACGAGAAGTGCTACAAAAAATGAGGGCACTTTCTGTTTCTTCTAAATTCTTACGAAGATTAGCTATAAAAGGGATGTGGGCTATTGATTTCAAGTTTACTTGGCGGATGTGTGCCAACTCTGAGCTCGTTAATGACCTAGGAAGAGTAATAAGGTAGAAAGGCAAAGCGTTTGCATTTATAGGGCAATCTGATGTTAACCATATAATTTCTATATAAGCATTTTCAAATGCATTACCAATTCACCACCAATTTTATTAAATCCTTCATATTGCAATTGGCATAATTCTGTCACCAAAAAACTGCTGAGTGATGAGGTCTAACTACGAACCATAAATGAGACTTTGCGAGAGTTTCTGTATGTTATTTGGTTAGAACTACGACATACAAATCCTGTTTTTGACGATTTCTTTTTCTTCAGGTGTTGATATTCTAAAGAAGGCTGTGGGAAAAGACTGCACATCGTTATTCAGTATCCTTTTCTATTAATTGGTTATGTGTTGTTGAGTTTTATTGTCCTTAAGCCTGACGTCTCCATGAAAACAAGAGAATAGATTTGCTACCACCATACCATATTAAGTGTTTTGGAATGTGTTTTATTTTTGGGATCCATGTAGTGGGTAGATTAAATCAAACTCTTCCAACGGCGCATAGAATGGGTGGTGAGCAAATGTATTATCTACCAACAGAACTGCCCGTAAAACTTGTTATTACTAATGGAGTAGGATTGGGAAGGTTTTTCTCTTTTTCTTGTTCACCAGAGAAATTTTGAATCATAACAAGCATTTCCAAAGCTTGAACAGGAATGGCGGATTCTCTTGGTCTCGCTCATTCCAAGGAATGGGTTTAGGATTCCTGAAATCCGATTCAGCGAAGCAACGCAACCAAAAAGTGCCTGCAAATCAGCAATGTGTTTGGGATCATCTTCATTTTATTTTAGCCTATTATAAAGTGCTGTTAACTATTGCTCCTTATTACATTTCTTTAGATAAATACCATGCTTGGGTGAATGCTGAATTTTTACTCGAGAAATGTCTCGTTGGTACTTTAGACGATGGCGAAGGACAACATTCCAAACACTAGGAATCTGCGGCCCGCTCATCATACCGGCAGATTGGCACAGCAATTTATTTTCCAAATCAAAGTTCGCATTATATTTATCATAACAATTTCATATAGAGATGTGATATACACACATCCTATTTTGCTTCTTACACACCCCTTGATAATTTATATCCGTTGATCTTCTTTAATTCATCTGATCAGACGGTCGAAAGTTAAAAAGATGTGTGATAAGTAAAATAAGATGTGTGTATATCACACCCCTTTCATATATTCATTTTAAAAGAAACACACCTCATACACTGTTGTACCATTTGTCAAATTCATATTTTGTTGTATATTATTAATGCATAAGCATTAGAGATGTTCTTGCATGCTATGGAACTTTCCAATTCAATGAAACTAATAAAAATGATTTGAAAACTTTAAGTTTTGACCATAAAGACAAAATAAAAAATAAAATAAACAGTACTAGAAACCTTTCGCACTTTATTTTACCATAAGCTACCAAAGAAAACTTCAGAACCTTCACAAATAAAGCGCTTAAGACTTTATCTTATCACAAGCTACCAAAGAAAACTTAAGATCCTTCATAACTAAAGCCCTGAAAACTTACTTTAATGTCCAAAACACTTCCAAGCACCGTTTTAAAGAAAAATCTCTAGATCCTTCATAACACATCTGCCCTCGTCAACGGCCAAATTCACAAAATGTCGGAATCATATTAACCGTTGCACAATCTCTATAACGATGTTGTAGTCTTATGGTGATTTAACTAAAAAACCTAGAAAATCTAGCAATTAAGCAACAGGGGAAACCTTAACTTCATCTAGGATAGGGCCACAAAGAGCTCCATAGTCCTTGGTGTGGTAGAAGGAGCTGAAGAACGTGATTCTGGTCCTGATTGAAACCGCTTTGAACCTGAAACTGGCCTTCTTGAACCCGCCTTTTCCTTTGGAGGCGAAGGGAACTTTAAGCGTTTCCTTGCCGGCAAATGCTTCAACCATCATTGATCCTTGGCAGCCGTTTCTTGCATCGCCGACGGTGAATGAGAGGCTGTAGAGCTTGTTGGGAACTGTCCTTATGATCTGGGCTATGGCACTTTCTCTCCCCGCAACAAGCTCGACTGCGCCCTTTCCGACTGGAACATTAAAGTGATTGGAATCGATGAACTTTACGGCCTTGAGGGACTCGATGATCCAGCCGGGGAGCGGGGATGTCGCATCTAGTTGTTTCGGAGGGAGGAGTACACCATGGGAAGAGTTTAATAACCTATGGGGAGCCTCTTCAAAGCCAGGGTTTCTGACCAAATTATCTGTAAGAAACATTCAATGGTTTCAACAAAATAGCCTTGTTTTCTTTGTAAACTCCAATAAGCAACACATCCAAAAACCAGAGCATACAATTTAAGAACGAAAACGGTTAGTGTCAAGCTTTCTGTCTTTCCAAAGGTAAAAAGCTGCAACTAGTTTACGTTTTTAGTAGACTGAACACTGAAATGGTTATCAATCGACCCCTTGACCGAAAAAAAGTTGGAAAAGCCACCCCTAATGATCCAGATGCACAGTGGACAAAGGAACCCAGATCTGGATAACCCATATAACTATCAAGCAAGAAACTTTGTGCAAATGCTATGTTACAAAATGTTTGAACAAAAACATGTTCTTTATATAGGAGTAACAAATAAATTGTCTCTGCAGGACGTCGTCTAAACTTCGAGTAATGATTCTACGCCCTAAAACAATCAACCATGTCAATAAATCAGATCGGAGTTGGAAATTAGCTGCATAAGCATAGTTACCTCTAGTGGGGTACACAGGGAAAAGCTCCTTGATAGCAATGGCATCCAAGAGAGGGCCACAAGCAGGATCCTCTTGAACCCCAGGATTGTGAAAAGTCACTTTAACAGTTGCAGAAGTTGCTCTGAATCCCCAAGCGTAAGTGTCGCCGCCATTGCTGCTGTATAGGGTTTGCATAGGAAGGTCCCCTGCCTGGGGAGGCACCAAAACCCTCAAAACCTCCTCTTGGGCACAAGTCCTTGATGCCCCAAATGTTAGGGCATACAGAGAGCCTGGCTTGACTTTAAGGGTCTGGGAGATTGAGGCCTCATTGCCAAGCCTCACAGCATGGACGCCATGAGCTACATTAAAGTACATTCCGCCGGGTTGCGGCCCGGCGGAAATGTACTCCACCAGGCCATCGATTTCCCACTTGGGCAGTGCATATTTGCCTACCAGAACTTTTTTCTTGAGGTTAGTTGGTTTTGGTGGCTCTTCAAAGTTGCCATTGGCCAAGAGTCCTGATTAAGATGTGCAGATAAATAATAGATCAGAAAAGAGAGAGAGAGAGAGAGAGAGAGAGCACAAAAGTAAAGACAGCTCAGTGAAAAATATCAGAGAGAGAGAGAGAGCTTACCATCCAGAGGCACAGATGCAGAAGCAGGATTAGTGAGTAGCAATGAGAATGCAAGCAAAAGTGAGAGCAACCCAGTAGCCATTTTCACCATTAGAATGGTAACAGATGAAAGAGAGAGAGAGAGAGAGAGAGAGAAGAAGAAGAAGAAGAAGAAGAAGAAGAAGAAGAAGAAGGTGTTTGATGAGAGAGAGAGAAGGTGGAGGGCTCGCATTTATAGGGTGCGGAGGATAAGATAGGAAATGGGGAAGAAGGAAAGTTTTGCAGAAATCACGTTGAGACTCAGAAGGAGCTGCCACCTGGCAACGTCCTTTCAAAATTCAAAGCACCCCTCTCTTCCCTCTGTTGGGTTTGTCTGCTTGTCTGGATTCCGCAAACCCCATCTTTCTCCGTAATTCATGTTAGTGCTATTCCTGTAATTTTTACCTTTCCAATTCTCCATCTCAATCCTCCTCCATTTCCGAATATCGAGTTTAAAACAAGAAGAGGGAAAATTACAAACGCGTGTTGATCAACCAAGAACCGGCATAAGTTTCGCTAAATTGGCCAAAACAACGTAACATGTTCTACTAGAAAATGGTTAGCAAATGTGCTCATCTTTTAGATTCATTAAGCTAGTTCTGTCATTGTAAAGTCTCAACGTTTATGTCATCACACTTCTATTTATGTCCGACTTCCATACCAAAATTATTAATGTAATGCTTTAAATTATTTAGTACGGAATTTTACATTCTCAACATGGGTTTTAATTTTTTTTGTAAACATGAATAATAAGGTCGAGCTAAATGTGTAACGCTCCTCTTGCAGAAGACAATACATACGTAGTGTGCATAGTGTGAATCTTCCTAAAAATTACCTTATTATTATGATTTTTCTACTATCAAAATTAAGTGGACTTTTTAGTTTGTGACAAAATAATTGGAATTTTGGGTTTTTAGTTTATAAATTAAATGAGTATTGAGCTATATAAATCAAATTAGGTCAACTCAAATTTGATTAATCTGCGTCCAACATACGAAATGCGGATACTAGAATTTTCCCAAATTAGTTGGCACTTGATAGGGGGCTTTTGTTTTCTTCAAAATTTTAATCAAAAGCCACAGAGGAGGAGGAGGGGATGTTTTTTTAGCTAGATTCTTTCAGAATGACGAAAACTAGTACAATACATAAATGTAATAATATAATTAATTAAAAATTAAAAAAATTAACTAATTATATTTTAACATTTAGTGTTCCGTGCAAAAATTTCCGTTCTGTTTTATATGTGAAATATCTCGTGGATCGCGGCGTTGCGTTGTATGATTGTACCATGTGATTCTGCTTCAGGAAAGTCTGACGAAAATGGCCTAGCAAAGATATGTCAGATTCTGTTTCTGCTAAATTAATTGTTTATTTGGTTACAACGTCTGCTAAATTAAACTAATCTCCAACCGTGTAGTCGCATTAATCAGCTTTTAAATTTATTTATCTTTGACCACTATTACTGCTTAATTACATTTTCCACACAAGTCATAACATTAACAACAAAAAGATGGAAAAAAGGAGCAGATCTATGAATGTTTTGGGCCCTACTTTTTGGAAAGGAAAAAAAAATTGTTTTGGGACCACTCATGCGTCATAGCATTATGGATGTATTGGAAGGACTGATGGGTCATGGAATACCCATGCCTTGATGACACTAAACGGTAATGGGACCTGTCAATATTAGTAATTGTTTGTTAGGACACGTTATACTGCTGTCCTCTTAAGAGAAATTTACAGAAAACAGGACTAACGGAATCACTATCGAGCAACATTTTAATGTACTAATATGTTGTCATGTGCAAAAGAATTTATTTATGATATTATATATTGGACTAAGATGCTATAATGATGATAAATTTATTTCACGTACGTAGTTCTCGTTTTGAAAACCTATCTTATGATTTTTATTTTGTTGTAAAAGTGTCCTTTTAGTGGGGAATTAGATACTAACATCACATGATATGATAGGCACATGTTCAAAGTGGATAGATCAAAAAAGAAGAGAGATTATATTCACACATCCTAAATTACTTTTTTCACATCGTTTTAATTTTTTAATATTTTTTACACACCACTAATACTTGATAGAAAAATATTAAAAAATTAAAAAGATGTGGAATAAGTAATTTAGGATGTGTGAATATAATCTCCCAAAAAAATCACATTGTTATATCTAAATTGATTAAATCCAACCCTAAAAAAAGGTATAAAGGGAGAAAATTTGTGTGGATATTAGTTAATTGCTATATTAATTTAAACTTCTTCAATTTACAAAAAAAATAAATATATATATTTGCATTTTACACCTCTACTCTTAACTGCTACATTTTCATTTTCTTCCCCTACCAACGAGGTGCTCTCTTTTTTCCATGCCAAAACTCTAGATCTACAAAAAATTTAATCGTCGGCCTCTTGATCTGGCTTTAGAGTCGATTGCATCCCCTCTTCCTCTTTTCCTAGCCTTCATCTTTCCTCTTCTCATAGATTGTTGCAGATCTTTTTTTTTTTTGTTTTTTTAATCATTTTGGAATTTCCATCAATAAGTGACTCTTCTGTGAGGTTATTTGTAAAGCCTTTTGACGTTGTATTGGTGTGCTATCACCTTCTGTTGGGTCTACTAGGGGTGGGTTCAAAAAACCGAAAACCGAACCGGACCGAGGCCGAAAAAAACCGAACCCACCCCTAGGGTCTACTTCACTTTTTTGGTAACTTTGATGATGGTGTTGAGCAAAAACATTCATACTGGTATGGGAACAACTTGGTTCGTAGTCACTTCCTCTTCTAAATTGTCGATGCTTTTAACAAAGCGTGTGCCCTCCTATTCATTATATTGCACTTTTTTTGCATAGAATTTCTTACATGCTAATTATTCGCAAAGCGTTTGGTTGTTTCATTAGGAATAGAGTTCTTTGGGTTTCAGAGTGCCATCTCAGTCTTTTGAGTTTTGGTGTGGATGATTTCAAGATTTGGATGTGTTGCTTTACTTATTCTCAGGCATACCTTGCCCTCAAATGCACCAATACGATGACAAATAGTTTGACCAAGTTAGCCTTTTATATTTTGTTGAAGTCTCTTTGAATTAAGGACGTCTTGAACGTTATCAAATGTCGTATTTGATATTAATTTGCAGCGATTGTTTTATTATGATCAACTTTTCGAAGGTAAGAAACATAGTTTTTTTATTTTTTTTATTTATTTAAGAAAACAATGAACAAACCAATTAATGGCATTTCTATTCCTATGTTGGAATGACTTCTAAGTTGGAATACCCTTCTCCTCCTATGAAAAGAGAAAAAGAGAAGAAAAAGTGTAATAACCAAATTATGGAGGTTGATAATTGAGATTAGGTTTGTACCCTAGTCTGCATGCCCTGCATAAATAAGTGAATGAATACACATCAAAATTTCAAAATTCAGTGAGGCCTTAATGGTGGTAACGACCTATACGCTTTACATTTAATCTAGTGAGGCCTTAAGTAACAACATTTTTCATTTCAGAGAAATATTAAGGAGACTCTTTTAAAGTGAGATTTTCTCTAAATTTCCTAACACCTCACAGTTTAATATTAATTCCCGTGGCAACACTAGTATAAAATATTGTGCCGAAAAATATAAGATGACAAAGAATCAATAGAAAATCTCATTTTTAAGAGAATTTCCTTAACATATCTCTTTCAAGAAAAACTACACAAAATAAAAGGAAGCTAGATTACATTTAATTCTCACGTGCATGTTGGGAGAGAGGTGTTTGAAATTTCCTTCCCCTGAAACTGGAAGGCTCAGTTTCCTCTCCATGAATCCGTTATGAACAGTTAGGTGTTGACGGTTAACGTTCTATTTAGAAGCAACATATGCTCTTTAAAGTTACAATCAACCTACTACATGCATGTGGAAAACGATACACGTACGCCTTACATTCTTTAACCTTCCCTTTTGTATTATAAACTTTCCCCGCCTAGCACCATCTGGATGTCACATCCCCGCCTGGGATCCACCATATTCGGAGCCCGCTCCACCACAATCACACGATATTGTCTGCTTTGGGTCCCGACCATGCCCTCACGGTTTTATTTCTGGGAACTCATACAAGAACTTTCCAGTGGGTCATCCATTCTAGGATTGCTCACTACTTGCTTAACTTCAGAGTTCCGATGAACTGCGAAGCCAGTGAGCTTCCAAAATGTCTCGTGCTAAGTAGAGATGAGAATATACATATAAGGCTTAGAGGATCCACTCCCCTGGGCGATATGGGATGTCACACTGGACCCCGTCTAGGCACTAGGCAGTTGGTCACCGCTCCTATTAATGCCTAAGCATTTGAAAATTAAGAAATGGTGCCAAGACCTGAAGAGGCACCCGCCTAGCCCGCCCTCTTAGCTTGCGGCTCACTTAGACAGAAAATAGGTAATTTTTATTTTGTATTTTATTTTATTTCAATAAATTGTAAGAGACCTGCTGAATAGTTAAATGAACACACATTATATGCTTGTTCCCCATGTTTTCATTATGTTCCAATACTTCATCGTATATATGTCATTATACTTTGTAGTTTACGATGAAAATATATATTTTTTTAAGTATAAACAGACACTTATTTACACGAAATAGAATAGATTAACTTAAATCTGCCTAGTCCGCCTAGACGCCCGCCTAGACCCCGCTTAGGCGCCTGTCTAGGCACTAGGCCCTAGCCCCCTGCTCGACTATCACCTAACATCTTTTAGAAGATTGCCTAAACATGAGTGACTTGTTATGTGTTTGCATGTAACTGTTTATTAGGGATAATTTATTTCATTTTAACTCTTTTTTTTATTTTATTTTTTTAACTGATAACTTAGTTTGGTAATTACTCTCAGTTTAAAAAAATGAAAAATAAAAACGAATGGAATTCACTCCTTGAATTTGTTCGAAAGCGTGTAGTATTCACGTGTTTGTCTTTCCTGACACGACGAAATTCTCTTCACATGTGGCCCCTAAAGACATGGTCTCACATGCGGAGGCTAGGCGTGTAGGAAATCTCACATCGGGAGTTTAACATAACAATTTACAACTTATAATTGCATGGTTTCATTCGTAATTACACCAATGTCTTTAAAGACAAAGCCTCACTCATTTTGAGCTAGTAGGTGCCTATGCTGAGGATAAATTCTCTAAAACATAACAAATATAGGTCGTGATCGATTGAGGTTAACATGCATATTCATCAATCTAACACTATTTTTTTTTAATCAAGTCATCAATCTAACACTATATATAACTCATTATTGGAGTCCATTATTAATAAACATGTCATGTATTCATTTTGTTGGGGTGTTCTCGTGTCTTAGAAGACATAACGTTGTTTTCTCCATCAACCTTGAACAGTAGCCGAGTATGTGGGAGGAAACAATGACAAGCTAAGCACATGATATATAAACATCATAGTTTGAAGAATTGCCTAATGTTAAATATGTTCTGTTTTCACGAGCCGAACCTGTCAAGATTTTTCTAAAACTTGTGGGATTTGAACCCTTAATTTTTTTTGAGACTTCACCTGGGAAAAGGGTGGGTTCTTATATTACTCTCTATATATAGAGACATTTGTGATCATTTAATTCTTAACTTAATAGTTGCATATTCGATGCTTCATATTCATTCTTTATATACCGCAATAAATATAAAGTTTTTGAGAAGGATAATGTTAAAAGATTAAAATTTTAAATTAAATTTATAAATTAAATTTGTCATAAATAGAAATTTAACATGTTAATCAATATTTAAACAATAATTTAATTTTCAAGATTCACATAATTTAATTTGTAAAATTTAATTAAAAATTTAGCCCTTAACATTACCTTTTTCAAGAAAAAAATCTTAAAATATTCTGACACCTATGGGATACCTGCACGGTCATTGTTATGATCCTTCTCACACTTTATTGATTTGTACGCTGCATGCCACGTGCATAGTCGGTGTGAAAATATATAAAAAATTATACGGCTTGTCGTTTATATTGCCTTGTTGCTTTCCAAATACAAGTCATCTCCATTATACTAAACGAAAACTAATGAAAATAATTTAAAAACTTTGAGTTTTAATGATAAGGATAAAATAAAGAGTAAAATAAATAGTATCAAGTTTGACTTTTTAATGTAAAAATATAATTTTTCGTTAAAATAAACAGTATTACGAGCTTTTAGTTAAAACTCCCTTATACTAACACAACGGAAAAGATTGTGGAAAAAAAATTTCAATGTGCTGTGAATATGGACGGAATACAATATTGCATTTTGTATTTGGAGAAAATTGTCTTTTTATAACGTGTCTTTTCAAATTGTATAATACTAAAAGTTGTATATTTCCAGTATGGTCCGAATCATGTGACCTCAGCCCCTCTCCGATATTACACGCAATCGAATGGTTCAAATTATACAACAGCCCTACCATGAGCGTGAAAAATGGTATAAGAGTAATTGTGCTGTATATATATGGGCCCATATATATGAATATATATATAAGCACCCTTGACCCAACTAATAATTATGGTACCTCACGCGTTTAGATTGACTCCATATTACAAGCAGCACTCTCATATAAATATATATAAATTTTTGACATCTATTTTATATGGTACATTTCGTAATATATTTTAAAGATTCGAACGGTTTATATTTGAGTATCTCAGTCATTGATCAACCTTACAAAAGATTAGATAAATCTAAAATTATTAAGACATTTATTTATACTAAAAAAAATAAACAAATACGGTTATATAAAAAAACATTGAGTTTCCAAACAATAATTTGATTTTTGGATTTGGATAATTTTTAATAGAAATGATCTTTAAAGTAAAACACAAAAGATAGATGATTGAGTCGTTAAAATACATTATATAATGAAATTTATAAAAATGTATATAAAAAGCGTGTATCTCTAAATTCTACCAAACGAACATCAAGTGATCCGACAAGCGTTTGTTGCTAGCATTGCTCTCTTTGAGCTGCACTACGCGTTAAAGAGCGATACTGTCTCTTTACAATAAGCTGACAGACATGATTTAGCTAGTTTTGGTTGTTTCTTGGTGTGCATTGGGCCAAAATGGTTTGGACCTACCCACGCCTATTAGCCCACCAACTATATTAATGGCTAGTACTCAGTCCAGCCCACTAGTTTATTGGTTCCAAGGTCCAGTTTTTATTTCCCAATAACTTTTTTCAAATATTATTTTTACATTTTTTGTCATATAGAGAAAACTAATTTGACTTGTTCTGTGGGATTGGCTCCACGAATTTGACTATTTCTTTAAACTTTTTCAAATGTTTCAACCATACTCTACGCGTTTTGACAAGTTATGGTCCAACATTTGCTAGAGGTCGAAATCATTGCACTTGCATGGGAACTTCCCTCAAATTTACACACAGATAAGTGACATTACTTTTTTTATACTAATTTTTTTACACAACTTTTTATTCATGTGTTTTATGGTATTTTAACGATCCGAACATTCTATTTTTTAGAACATCATTCATAGATCACATTTACAAAAATTAAGACAAATTCAAAATTATTAAAGACATTTATTTGTAGTTAAGAAAATGGACATGGTCTCCTAAACCCTTAAATCCAACTGTCACATGGTTTTAGATTTGGGTGAGGTTTGGTAGAGATGGTTTTTAAGGAAAGACCTAAAAGATAGACGGTTTAGATTGTTGAAATATATTACGGAGTAGACCCTGTAAAAATATGTGTCAAAAGTTATGTAAAACAAGTGATGTCACGAAGCCGTCCTTATATATATATATATATATGAATGTATTAAACCTTACTTTCTTCATTCTTCCAAAAAACTTTTGCAAGACAGAAAGCATGTCTGGTGCATTTAAGGTGGACAAGGATGGCAATTTGGTATTCCATCAAAGTCAAAATAGTGAACCTGATGACTTCCAACAATTTCAGAAACAGTTCAATTCTTCAATGCAATGGGGAGTGGCCTTATCTGTTGGTAAGCATCCTCAAACTGTAGCATCTTCATAAAACTGCAGGCAGGTAACAAATGTTTAGAAAAAATATGACGTTTCTGCTTTCTACTTGCTGCAAACATGGTTTCAGATGTTAATGAAAAATTCGTGTTTCGGATCAACCTGCCGAACACGAAAATGGCTTTAACACGTCTATGTAAATCTTGCAACTCGTAAAACAGGAGATGAGCTATTTATAATTGCAGGTGAAACAACAACTTTTAAGTCTTTAACCCTTTTATTTAACATAAATATTAGTTCATATGTAATTTTGTATTTACGAACATTAAACGGCTAATCTTGTAAAACGTTTGATAATCGTGTCATATTCGGGTGTGAAAAATTGACATGGTTAATGATCGGGTGATGAACACAACCAGGAATTCACATTCCTATCTATCTGTGATCGTAGCCCAAATACATGTGAACCACGTAAAAACTGGATTATTTGTACGATTGTGATTTTATATCTTAATATCATCACTGCTATAAGTTTTATGTAAGTTTGTTCTTAACTGTACATCTTTTTTTCAGTTTCTGGTTTGGTGGTGACCATTGCAATTGTAGCCATCGTATATGCCATCATTGATTGCTTGAAAAAGACCGGAAGCGCTATTCCGGCATATGCCCGGATAGCCAACGGTTACAGTAGTATCGACAAGTCTTTGAATATAAATCATTCATCCGACGATGTAGCCATCGACTTAACACCCGAATTGCAACAAGTTCGAAGCTCACGAGTTGAGTTTCCGACGGTAAAGGGGTTTCTTAGCAACATGGCAAGGGAGAAGCCGGTAGCCTTTTCACCCAAGCAACTTGCAGAATACACAGACAACTACTCCACCATATTGGGTTCAGGTGGCTTTGGAGTTGTCTTCAAAGGGATTCTCCCACATGGAGTGCAAGTTGCTGTCAAGGTGCTTACAAACACTAGGGATAAGATAGTTGAAGATCAATTCATGGCGGAAGTTGGCACCTTGGGAAGAACTTACCACATGAATTTGGTAAAACTATACGGCTTCTGCTTTGACCATGAAATGCGAGCACTTGTCTATGAGTACATGGAGAATGGATCACTTGACAAGTTCTTGTTTAGTGAGCATAGAGAAATAGATTTGGAGAAGCTGCACAATATCGCAGTCCAAACAGCAAAAGGGTTGGCTTACCTGCATGAGGAGTGTGAGCAAAGAATCATTCACTATGATATTAAGCCTGGGAATGTGCTTCTCGATAAGAATTTGACTCCAAAGGTTGCGGATTTTGGACTTGCCAAGCTTTGCAACAGAGGAAGTAGTCAAATGTTGTTAACTAAGGGAAGAGGGACACCAGGATATGCAGCGCCAGAGATGTGGAAGCCTTTTCCAGTGACTCAAAAGTGCGATGTTTACAGTTTTGGTATGCTTCTCTTTGAGATTGTTGGAAGGAGGAGAAATTTTGATGAGGATGTAAGTGAGTCACGCGAATGGCTTCCAAGGTGGATCTGGAACATGTTTGACGACAATAAATTAGAAGAGGCGCTGTCATTTTGTGGGATTGAAGAACAAGACAGAGAAAAAGCAGAGAGGATTATTATGGTAGCTCTGCTGTGCATTCAGTATTCACCGGAAGCTAGACCTCTCATGAGCAATGTAGTGCAGATGTTGGAGGGAGATAAGGAAATTGCTTCACCGCCTTCTCCTTTCCAGCATTTGGAGTCACCGCAAGGAAATTTAGCACAAGATAGTGGAACAGATGAAGACTGGAGTTCTTCTGCATCAGGCACAAAGACTAATGAACAATCCGAGCGCCATTCTAATACTGCTGTGCAGAACAAATGTGAAATTGAGCTAGCTACTGTTTAACAGGTAAAGAGATCGATGGTTGCGCATTTAAGTCAAAAGAACAAATATTATTGTTGGTTTTGACACTTCAGTGAAATGATTTCATTTATTGTTGTTGAATGTAATGTAGTTACTGTAAAACAGGTATTCTCATTTTTCTGGTTTTTGTATACGAAAAGGTTGCCATAAATGTTGAAGATACTTCATGATGGTATTTCAATTCATCTTTGCTTGTAGAAGTGAAGAAATTTTGTAGACCTAGTTAAGTTTAAATATCGATACAAGTTAATAATTATATTATCTCTAGAGCATGTTAAATGCAGTATAAGATCCACCTATTTCGTTTGGATAGGACGAATTAAGACAAGTTGCTAGCTAAATATGAGTGGAACATCTAGGTACCAGTTCTGCAGCTGGTGGAACTCCCTCAACTTCTTCCAAGGACGCGTAACCAAGTTGTGTGGCAGCCCCTCGCAGAAATGTCCGATAGTCCTGCTCCCGATAGGATTTATATCTGCTGAGCTGCAGTCATACTCTGCAGGAAAAAGAAAGAGTAGTTAAACATAAACTAGTAGGCGGATCAAGATTAACTAGTAAAACAAGACCGTTATTTAAATGGATTTGTCGTTAAATTCCAATAACAATTAGACCGACGAGACATGCATAGATACATGAACACATGGGGAGAAGGAAGGAAATTCGAAAGACAATTTGTACTTCGTACTGTGGTTGTTTTCCCGTTACTAAATGAAGCAACAACAGCAGTGCGGAAACAGCGCCATCAATGGAAACGTGTTGCATCAGCTTTGTTTTGACTTGTTCATCCCCGCTTGCAATATCTGCATGTAAGAGTGGATCGCAAATGAATGATATTGCTAATATTCAAAGGACGAAACTTAAACTGTTTCCAGCAGGCAAAAAGAAGAAGAAACTCTCAGTCATTCACCGAGGCTTGTATTCTTCATGTGGTTCAATGTGAATGTTTGGGATGAGCAATCTTAGACCACTCCTCAGTCCTCACCTCCTTCTTTCTCTCATGATAATGGGATGAAGGGAGCATATTTTACTCAGTAATCAGTATCAGTATGTCATGCATCTCGATCCTCGTAATAAGATATTATTCGTATTATCGATTATTTTTATGATATAAGAATGAAAAAATAAATTAGTATCGAACTCGTTATTTACGAGATTTATTTAAGAAAAGCAAATATCACATGCATTAGAACGAGAAAGTGTTTAATTAGATGACTTCCTCTCATTTACAATTAAAGAAAAATATTATTTAACCGTAATATTACGGAATTCTCTGTGGTATCTATTTATTATTGAGCCTTGAAATTGTTTTTTTACCTTTTCTATTTCGGTTACAAAAGTGATTATATTTGTCATTTTACAGCGAAAATTTAGAATTGCCCCTAGAGTTTGGCCACCCCTCTCTCTCTGTCATCCGACTCATCCCACTCAGCTTTTGTTTTCGATACTGTCTCTGTCTATATGTAAACAAATTGGTTTCCTCCAACGAATCCCTCTCTCACATACCACATCTCTCTCTTCATCCTCCCTCGAAAAGTCTCTCCTTTTTTTATTTCTGCTTCTCTCGGATTCTCCTTTTGATGTAAAGACATTGATTCTCATCATCCACATTACAATTCAAACAATGTTTTCACTTGTTTCTGAAAAATTAAGAAAATATAGTGACTGTAATGCTTACTTGTAAATTTTCAAGTAATGGGTTTGTGTTACTTTTCAGATCTCCGCAACTTTGCTTTTGGGAAAGTCAAGAGGAGGAGATGTCGAAAGCTGGAGCATTGGATCTCGCATCGGGTCTCGGTGGAAAAATCGACAAAACCGATGTTCTCTCCGCTGTTGAAAAGTACTTCTTCGACTCTCTCTCTCTCTAAAAAATATGGACCCAGTGTGAAGTTTGAGCGTTTCTCACTCTAGAAGCTTGGATTTCATGTTGCATCCATCAACTCTAATCATTCATTGATGCTGATGGTTTTGTTCAATTATTTTGTTTCAGAAGTAAATGCCTAAAGTTTTGATCTTTGTGTTTCCAAAATAAATGCTTGATATTTTGATCTTTTAGTGTTTCTCTCTCTAGATTAAGCTTAATCTTTCTTTATTCTTAGTAATCTGGAAATGGGTTTGAGCTCTAATCTTTGCTTAATATGATGTTTAGAAAGTCTTAATTTCTTTTGGGATTAATGCTAGGTTTTTTTATTTGACAAACTATAGGAAAATTACACTAAATTTACTTAAACTACTGAGAGAGGGATTCAAACTCGAGTTCAGAGGGTGGATTAATGCTAATCTGGATTTGGGCTAGGTAAGCACAATCTTAATTATCAGATGTCAAGTGAAAGGAAAAAAGAAGTAAATTAATGATCTGTAGATGTTGTGAAGACATTAATGTTGAATGGTACATATCTGGGAGTTCCTGTAGAGTCACGTGATTTATGGGGTAGTCTGACATGTGGTGAGATGTCCGTACAGCATGTTGTGGAAGCGAAGCTGCTAGCTTAGAAAAGTCGCATGTTATGAGGGTGGTAGGAAGTGGCCTCTGTGCCGCATAAGTATTTCATGGATCCATTTCAAATAGGTCCCAAAGATTCCATCCTTTTTTTGATTGGTTACCCTAAAAAAATAGGGAAAAATAAAAATTGGGTTCTGGGAAATTTGCAGTGACTTTGATCTGGTAAGTGGAGGAACTCCTGATGTGTTTGGTGAGGTTTGAACCTTGGTTGTGATGTACCTTTCTGTCAGAACTAGCTAACCAGGAATTTGGAACTTTTTTTTTGAAGCTGTATATTCCTTTTATCTATATATTTATTTGTGTGGAAATAGCCTCTTTGCAAACTAAGGTTAAGGCTGCGTACAATAGACATCCCCGACCCTGGCAAAGAGGGGAGCCTTGTTGGCTTGGGGTCGCCATTTTTTATATATTTATTTGCCTGGGAATTCATGAATTATAACAATGAAGTACTTAATACTTTTTTTTTTTTTTTTTTTTTATCTTACCAATAGAAATTGAAATTATGGAAGCAGTAGTAATTCTGATGTTATCCTTCAAATGACGAAATATACACACACACACACATACACAGTGGGTTAGAATTTTCACCTACGAATTATGTATGCAATGGAGGTGAAAAGTTCAGAATTCTTGGAAATAACCACTTCAAGGAAGTTTGTTAAATCAGTTTTTCATTCGGCAGCAGTTGTAGTATGGCTATGACGTTCTCATCTTCAATTTTGCTTACTCGAATGTTGACTAAATTTGATGATAACATGCCAGAAATTTGAATAGAATTTTAATCGTCGAAGCGTTTTATATATTATTGAGCTGCATCGCTTGAATTTCTGAACTTTTGTTTGTGAGGTGACACAACAAGAATTTTAAAACCAGTTTGTTCAATTTTGTGGAATGATTACACGTAAGTTGCAACCAAACATTTACTCTTGTCAAACATGGCAATGCAAAGTTCCTAGAAATCATTTTGGGATGCAGTGTGAAATTCTGTAACCTGAGCTTTTGCAGTTGTTATGGCATATGTGGTTACAATCTCAGTTTATTGAATAATGGTTCAGGTATGAGAAGTATCATGTCTGTTATGGAGGGGATGAGGAAGCTAGAAAGTCCAACTACACTGACATGGTAAGATAGACTCCTTTATTTGTCTTCTGAGGATTGTCTGTATACAAGCTTCTCTTGATTTAAAAACCCGTCGTAATTTTTTTCGGCTGTTTAAACTATATTTTCATGTTTGGGATCATTGATCTCCTAGGGATTGTGATTTTCTCTGTTGGTTCTACTATTCACATCACTACAGGGGAAAATTTTTCTGTTTCCCATAGATATTATTCACCATAGAGAATATATATATATTAAATCTTTGACGAACGTGAATCCCCACGGCCTCAAGGCTTCTTTGTTGTCTTGTAATATCACCTAGTTCATGTGATAAGACTCAAGATAATGGCAAGTTACGTGGTTAATTTGCTCCAGATTTTTTCTGTTCTGATTATTAAGATACATTTTATCATGCCTATATGGGAAAGTTGGCCTTTGCCATGTCTCTTTTGATTATAAAGATTTAATGGCTCTTAGTTTCAATTTAATATGATGACCTTTCAGCTCAAGCTTGGGATGGCGAACTTCTAAATTGGTTCATGTGGATTTCAGGTTAATAAATACTATGATCTGGTTACCAGCTTTTATGAGTATGGCTGGGGAGAGTCTTTCCACTTTGCACCCAGGTTCCTCTTTTGTCTTCTTATCTTCACATCCAAGCAATGAAATTCTGTCTTTTTTATAAGAGTTTCTGATGGATGTATTGCTCTTTTGCAGATGGAATGGGGAGTCTCTTCGAGAGAGTATCAAGCGACACGAACACTTCCTTGCTTTACAACTAGGACTCAAACCTGGGCAGAAAGTTAGTCTTACTAATTAGACTATGGAATATAGATTAGCATGAGATAGATCCGTTTTGGGATTGGTTCAAATTGTTGGCTTAGTTTTCTGTATTTTTTGTTTTAGGTTTTGGATGTAGGTTGTGGAATTGGTGGACCACTGAGAGAAATATCTCGCTTCAGGTGAATGCCGTTTCTTTTATTCAGGTTTTAGCTGTGATGGTCCATAGGGTTTTTAGTTCTTATAAATTTTAAAATTGTCACTGAGTTGGACTGAAAACACTTTATGGGAAGACCTCCTAGTATGCGTATGGTTTATTCACAACTATTTTGTGTGGTGGTTTGTGCAGCTCAACATCAGTTACTGGGTTGAACAACAACGAATATCAGATCACAAGAGGAAAGGTAGATAAACCAATGTATACTGGCGACGATTTGTTTTGATTAATGAGCATAATCTATGGCCAGTCTTGGTGGTTTCTCAAGATAATTCTTCTGTCCAATTGAAAATTTTGAAGCTTAAAAGATTTATTTATTTATATTAGAAATGACCACTTGAATGCTTCAGTTCAAAGTGGCTTAATACTATCGTGCTTTTGTTTGCTCTATAGGAACTAAACCGTATTGCAGGAGTGGACAAGACCTGCAACTTTGTTAAGGTTGGTAGCATTTTATATGATGTTCTCGTTCTTCATAGAAAGTACCTTTTTATTTCTTTCCTGCAGCAATACATAGGAGAACATGGAGATAACTGGTTTAGCTTATAGATCTCATGCTTTGCACTTCTTTATAAATGGTGCAGGCTGACTTCATGAAACTACCATTTCCAGAAAATTCATTTGATGCAGTATATGCAATTGAAGCGACCTGCCATGCACCAGATGCAGTAAGTCGTTCTTGTGGCTGGAAACCTTCCAACTCTTTAAGTTAGGTCATTATCTTCTCCCCGGTTTCTGTTAGCTTAACATTTCGATCTGTTCTTGATAGTATGGGTGCTACAAGGAGATTTACAGAGTATTAAAACCCGGTCAATTTTTTGCTGCATATGAGTGGTGCATGACTAATGCATTTGATCCCGATAACCAAGAACATAAAAAAATCAAGGTAAGAGAAACCAAAAGTATAAAATCGAGCTGTTTTATAGATACTTGATTTACTTTTGAACGATTTCTAGATTGTCAATATACGTACAATAACTTAATTGCCACAGGCAGAAATTGAGATTGGTGATGGCCTCCCGGACATCAGATTGACAGGAAAGTGTCTTGAAGCTTTGAAACAAGCAGGTTTTGAGGTCAGTAGGAGGTTTTTTCTTCCTTATGAAATCTATGCAAGATAAACGAGATATTGACTTTAATTTTCTTTTCATTGGGACCATAGGTCGTATGGGAGAAAGATCTTGCGGCGGACTCACCTCTTCCGTGGTACTTGCCTTTGGACAAAAGTCGGATTTCACTTAGTAGCTTTCGTCTAACCACTGCTGGGCGTTTTGTTACTAGAAACTTGGTAAGAGTTCATGAATATGGTGGTCATTCAATGAATTTGTTACGCCACTTTCTTATGATGCGTTGTCAAATAGTGAATATTCCTGTGCTAAATACTAGAAGGTGCTTGACTTATATATTTTAAATTTTATTTTTGTAGGTTAAGGTTTTAGAGTATATTGGAGTTGCACCAGCAGGAAGCCAAAGAGTTCAAGATTTTCTGGAGAAAGCAGCCGTAGGGCTAGTCGAAGGCGGAAAGTAAGTGTTCGTTCTTTTTCAGTGTGTTTGTTTATCTCTTCTGAACCTTCATCCACCTCATTGGGCAAAACTAAGTTTGCTCAAATATGTGGCATCTTGTTCCGTGATTCAAACACGACCCAACCGGCCATGACTCCATAAATATGGAGTTGGACTGGAACGACAAATGCCTGTTTGGTCTAAAACTCTATGATTTTGTTCCAGAAGCATGCATATATTAGCTACCGACATTGATTATCCTGATGAATGTCTTTCAGGAAAGAGATTTTCACACCGATGTATTTCTTCCTGGCCCGAAAGCCAGTCACAGAGGAGAGTCAGTAGATTTGTAGTGCAGACTAGTTTAACCTGCGAGGGATTTGCAGAGGTATGTTAGATATGCTACCTGACTGGAGTACTGTCTAAGTTGCTTGTTTGTTGTTTGTGCTTTCATTTCCTCTGAGTTTTTTTAGTCTTTATTTGGACACAGACAATGAAGAATTAATTATTTTTAATATTATTTCTTTTTCTGGGCCTCGGTCACGTGCTATACCACGTGCGAAATTGGACTCGTCCACCATCACCATGTGCAAATAAATCGGATCTAAATTACTCATGGGAGATCCACAAAGAACATGCTGCCTTCATTATATTTTATTTTTATTTGAATTTAATCTGATACAAGACGTTGATTTTTCTGTCAATGTCATGAAATT